ATTGGATAAAATAGTAAGACCCAACTATGTTTCATACAAATAGACACTTTAAAGATAAATTTGGTTTAAAGTGATAGATGGGAACAGATCTGTTATATCTGTTCCCATCTATTACTTCTTTTGGTAAGTATTCCCATACCATACTTACCAAAAGAAGCTCCTATGGCTATAGTGGTATCAGGCAAAATATATTTAAAGAGAAGGATTATTAGAGAATAAGAACATTTTATAACAATTAAAGGATCCATTCATCAAGAAGAACCCTAAGTGTATATTCACTTTATAACAGATTCAAAATACATGAAACAAAAATTGACAGAAATAAAAGGAGAAATAGATATCTTTACATTTATGGTTAGAGATTTCAGTACTTTTCAGTAATTAGTAGGAAAAGAATGCTGTAAATTAGTAAGGGACAGAAGACCTGAACACCACTATCAATCAATTTAACTTGACATAGTTTGAAGAGTACACCCAAGAGATGCAGAATATGACACTTAAATGTACACGAAACACTCACCAAGGTAGCTCTTATGTGAGACTGTCAAATCTTCAACAAGCTAGAAAGACTTGAAATCATAATATTACTTTTTCTGACTACGTTGGAGTTAAATTAGGAATCAGTAACAAAATGAGGTTTAGTAGATCTCTGAATGTTTTGAAATTAAAATTATTCTGAATGACTCATGGGTAAAAGAATAAATTAAATGGGAAATTAGAAAGCATTTTAAACACATTCAACAAAAAGACACATATCAAATCTTAAATGCATCTCAGAATTTATAGCTTTAAATCTGGAATAATAAAGTATTAGAATCAATTATTTAATAAGCTTCACCCTAAGAGTCAGAAAAAGAGAGCAGTTAAATTCAAAATAAATAAAAGGCAGAAAACATAGAGAAAATTGAAATCAATGAAATGTAAAATATACCTCAAGTAAATAAGCAAATGGTAGTTTTCTCTTTGAAAAAATCAATACAATTGATAAACTTAGGATTGATGGCTTAAAACTACAGCAGTTTATATTGCTCTTGAATTTGTGAATCAACGTGTGGCATCTTTATGGTGTCATGTCCTCAGGGCTGCATTCAAAGAAAGGCAAGGCAGAAGTTGTAAGTTTTCTTGAGTCATAGGCGCTGTTACTTGCCATCAAACTTGCCACATTGAGTTGGTATAAGCAAGTCACAAAGGTAAGCCCAAGTTCAAGGAGTGGGAAAATAGATTCGATCTCTTGATTTTAGATGGTATAAGAAAACGTTGTGGCCATGTTTCTTAATTTACAGTGGTTAAATCAGAAACAGTAAAGGTGCTGAGATTTTACCCCACTTACAAGCTAACATGTTAACCTGTCGGAAGACACAAAACCTCCAGATCAGAGACAATTTGTTACTCAGTACAAAAGCAGCAACCAGGGCAGTATCTTGTGTCAGTTACCTGAGCCTCAGTCTTCAAACTGAGAGTCAGATGGTACCTACACAAGTAGTGGTGTGCATTACAGAAGAGGAAACCCAAATTTGGAAACTCTGATCTCACATAGGACCACTGGTGACCTGTCTTCTATTTCCTCGGGAGAGTGAGAGACAGAAACCTTGTTTTTACTCTGGAATTTAAACAGATCTTCTCTGGAGAGAGTATATGAAACTGTCTCAGTGTTGCTTAGTGTTAGTATCTGGAATATCTTTTTATTTAAACAAGTTGGCTATAAATGTCGTTTCTCAGAGGACCCAGACCATGCAGAAATGCGAGATATTCATGAAAAATTATTTTCTAATAGTCTATCCTCTTGCACAGTAATTTACTTTCCTCTCATATACAAAATTTGATCACTCTTTTCTCCAAAAGTCTCATCTCACTAGAGTGTCTGTCAGACATAAGACCAGTATCTTATCACTTAAATGAGATCCAAGTACAGATGAGGCTCTGCTGTGCCATTTTGTAACTAGAGAAGTGCAAAACAAAAGCAGGATGACAGTGATCATGGCAGCACTATTTACAGCAGCCAAGACACAGAAGCAACCTTAATGCCCATTGGCAGATGATTAGATAAAGAAGTTGTGGTGCTTATATACAGTGGAATACTACTCAGACATAAAAAGATTAAAATAATGCCATTTTGCAGTAACATGGATGGAGCTGGAGATTGTCATACTGAGTGAAGTAAATCAGATAGAGAAAGAAAAATACCGTATAGTATCACTTACATGTGGAATCTAAAACAATGAGGCAAATGAACTTATTTACAAAACAGAAGCAGACTAAGACATAGAAAACAAACTTATGGTTACCAGAGGGGAAAAGGGGTGGGAAGGGATGAATTAGGAGTTTGGGATTTGCAGATGCTAACTACTATATATAAGGTAAACAACAAGGTCCTACTGTATAGCACAGGGAACTGTATTTAGTACCTTATAATAGCCTATAATTGAAAAAGAATATGAGAAGAAATATATATATTATATATGTAATATATATATAACTGAATCACTATGCTATACACCAGAAACTAACACAACATTGTAAATCAACTATTTTTAAATAAAAATAAATACTAAGACACTAATGTGCATCTACTACCTATGTGAAAATTAAGAAATACTGAGAACATCAGGTGTTGGTGAGGATGTAATTGAAACTCTGGGAGTGTTACATGGTAAAACCACTTTGTAAAACTACTTGTTTATCTTGCTTTTAAATAAAATTAAACACACATGTAGACTAGCATCTAGCAGTTTCACTCCCCTGTATTTACCCCCAGGAACCAAAGCCTGCATTCTCATAACCCTTGTACCCAAGTGTCAGCACTCTTACTCAGGACAGGTTGCCTTGGTCAGGGTGTTGACGGGAAAGTAGTGCATGGGAACTTTCTGAGGTGTTAGAAGGACTGTGTATCTTGATTGCTATTGTTTGTATGGATGTATGCATTTTGCAAAATTATAAGGATCTATTATGTAAAAATTATAAGCTATTATGTAAAAAATGTAAAAATATAAAAGTGGAAATTTTTGCAAGTGTAGAAACTCCTTTATAACTTCAGTGTGCTTCACTCTACTACTTTACTCCACAGTAAGAATTGTTTAGACATGTGTAGGCTAACCATGGTTTGATATGAAAGTTTGACTGAAGAAACTCTCAGCTTTCTCCTGAATTAGTAATTAGGCTAGTAGGGGTCAGACAGTGATATTGATCTTAGAAGTATGAAATTTAGCTTTTTACACAGGCCTCCTTCCTTCATTTCTTGCTATATATGTTGTAGGCATTGCGCATTTTATACATTCCGTTATTTTTGTCTTTCAGAATCAGATGCTCCTATACAGCATTTTTTTTCATTACATAGGTTTCTTTTATTCCTATTCTTTTGCATAGAACTATTTTCATTGTTTCCTATTCATGTACTTAACAGTAATGGGTTAATAACATCCATGAAGTGCCTCAGAACTAAGCACAAATATACCAAATACAGAGTAGCAAATACTGTGGGAGCCATAAGTAAACTAAAATGAACTCACACGACTACTAAATGCCATCTAACAACTATGGGCATGCCCAAGGAGCCTTTGTTGTGCGTTTTAACTTCTGAGCTGATTTTAAGATTGTTCTGACGTAAGATTTCTCTTAAATCTAGCCAAGTATAACTTGTGATCTCTTCATAATCATTAAGGAAGTGTAACATACTACATTTTAAACAACTCTTGCAGTAATTTCACTTTTCAGTTGTTATAATAATTCCCCAACCGGGAGTATATCAAAAAAATAGTAGAGAATGGTGAAAGAGAAAAGATGGTGATTTGAGTCTAGGTGAAATATTGACTATGCATTGATTATGGCTGAAACTGTTAGAAAAAAGAATCACATAAGCGTTTTATTTATGATAAATAGTCTTGAGTTTTCTGACTAAACTCCTAAATCAGAATCTTGAGAGAGAAGCTACAGTCATCTACAGCAGTTTTGAAAAATACCCTAAGTGAATTTCTTTCAGCTAGTTACACCATTGTGCCCAAAGTTTCTTTTGTTTTGTTCTCCTGGTCCAGAAAACCTAGCAATGGTTTAAGCAAATAGGAGATTTCGTTTTCTTATATACCAAGAAGTTCTGATACTTTTGTAGTTAGCATTGGTTCAGCTACGCAGCAGTGCTATTAGAGACCCCCAGTGTGTTGTTCGGTCTTTCTACACCGTCAGCCCTTATTGGTTGGTTTTTAATCCTCACGCTTGTTAACTCATGGTCATAGGATGGTTGTCGCAACAGTAGATATACAGTGTTCACATCTGTCCCTGGATAAGGAAAGCAAATGTTTTCCGAGAACCAACCCCATCCCACCCCCAAAGCAGACTTCTAAGTATATGTCATTGATATTAACTGTGTTGTCCATCACCTGTCCACCCTTTTTGGAAAGCTCCAAAGTGGGTATTTAGTTGGGTCCATTAACACCCTGAATAAAGAAGAATTCTAGAAAGGGGGAACAGAATCTGATAAACCACACAGAACCGTTAAAAACGACTAAATTTAAATATAATTGATGAGTAGGATTTATTCGCTTAGGAAAACTTTATTATTTCTTAGTAAATGCAAATAAATGGGATTTTAATGGTGGATAGAGAGGTATCTGTTGTAGGATACAGATGAGGGCTCTCAATATTTACCAGTTTATTCTGAACAGTAAATCAAGTGACTGATTAAGAAAGTAGCCACGTATTTTAAAGTTAGTAAATTTGTGTGCATCAGTTTATGCTGCTGAATTACTGAAAATTTTAATTTACATTTTGAGGTAAATAAGAAGAGGTGTTTCTTAAAGTGATAAAAATCTGTTTGTTTGTTTTTTTTAAAGGAATTTGTTCTTTTGAGGGAGGGGATATGGTTTATTTATTTAACGGAGATACTGAAGATTGAACCCAGGACCTTGTGAATGCTAAGCTCGCACTCTACCACTGAGCTATACCCTACCCCCCTTAAAGATCTGTTTTTATTGTTAATTTGGTGTTTTTTTGTTTGTTTGTTTCCATAGAATGTTGGCTCAATTAAGAAACATCAGGGAGATAAATTCAACTTAGTGGTAAGTAGTTTTAATTTCTTTTGTTAGAAAGTGTTCGGCTTATTGTACTTTTATTCTTGATTGGCTCCTCTTCCTCCATTTGACCAGAATGTTTTTATGTCTACTGTTTTTAGCCTGGTTTATAAAATGGCTCGCTCTTATCACAACACTAAAATTCTAACAAGTAGTCCCTGTGGTTGATCACTTCCTGTTCAGATCAGGCCAGTGTCTCCCCCTTTGATTTCCTTCTTTGTAGTATTGTGTAAAGGAGGGTCTCTTTGGGTCTTGTTATTCATTTGTTTCTCTTTCATATGGAACTTCCCTCCTCTGCCCTCATTTCTCATCAGTCAGTAGTTTTTAGTCTGCTAAATGGGGGTTCATTTTTATATTGGCTCAAGGACCACAGAATTTAATCAGAGGTCTAAGTTGCTCTTTTCACACCTTTGCCCGTAGGAAGTTTCTTTGTTTTTTGATTTTTGTTTTGTTTTGCTGTTTTCATTTGAAATGTAAACTCTTTGCAACTTCCTAGAGCTAAGCATCTAATAATCTTCCTCTGAATTCATTCTCTTCTGAGAAATTTGGCAGTTTCTGACCGTCTGTCTGCAACTTGATGTATTTATGATTAACTCTGCAGGAAAATCTTGGAGGTTGTTTTACCTTCGATAACAGTTACTCTGCCCTGTAAATTGCCTTCCATCAAGTGCCATGCACAGATGATTTAAACATACTAAACTAAATATACTCTTAAATCACATATAAGTGATAATAACATTTCATGTCCTTTATTCTCAGCTAGGAATTATACTCCCAAATTCATTGTAATTTCTGGGAAATGGATGTTTTTAGGTCATATCTTCCAAATTACTGGATACTGTCATATAAAAAATAAGCAGACAGTAGTTATAATATGAACCAGAATAATAGTTTGAAACATTGTACTAGTGCTGTTTCTTAGAACTTTCTGCAGTGAAAGAAATGTTCTGTATCTTTTCTTATTCAGTATGGTAGCCACTAGCCACCTGTGGCTCTTGACCATTGAAAATGTGGTTAGTGTGACTGAGAAACCAGATTTAAAATTTTGTTTAACTTGAATTTTAAGGTTAAAATGCCACTGTATCTAGTGGCTACCATATTGGACAGAGCAGATAGAGTTCTTTCCCATTTTTCTTTAGTACCCCCTAACTCATTATCAGTTGAAGTAAAAGAGTCTCTTGAACAAGAAATTGTGTATTCATTTTTGGAATCTTTAAAAAATTATTTTATTTTAATTTTTTATGGTTGTTTTTTTTTTTGCTTGGTTGTGGGGGTAGGAAATTAGGTTTATTTGTTTGCTTGTTTGTTTATTGATAGAGGTACTGGGGATTGAACCGAGGACCTCATGCATGCTAGGCGTGCACTCTACCACTGATCTATACTCTCCTCCAGAATATTTTTTATTATGTCATAAACACAAATATAAACTAAATTCCCGTTGAGTGATTAAATTCTTACTAGATCATTAAAACTTCTTATTCTTATCAATAAAACACAGCTTCATATAAAAATAGATAAAGCATGTTCAGTAAACTTTATTGACAAAATAATTTTTTGTTTTTATTGAGGTATAATTGATATATTACATTATATTAGTTTCAGGTATACAACATAAAGTTTCAATATTTGTATATATTGCAAAATGATCCTCACAGTATGTCTAACTGTGTCACAGTATGTTTAACATCTGTCACCATACATAGTAACAAAAATTCTTTTTCTTGTGGTAAGAACTTCAAGATCTACTCTCTTAGCAACTTTCAAATATGCCAAACAGTGTTATTAACTATAGTCTATATGCTGTGCATTACATAGCCATGACAGAAAAATTTTAGGTAGAAACATTTGATCTTTGACATCGTAGTGTAAGGAAGGAAAAATTTTCCCTTCACCTTGCTAGGGTTCTTGACTTGGGTCTGAAAATTAAATGGACAAAGACAGATAAACAGGAGAAAAGTATATACATTTATTTAATACAAGTTTTAGGTGACACAGGAAGCCTTTGTAAGTAAGTGAAGTACCAAAGAAACAGTTAAACCTGAGTATTTTTATGCAATGTTTTGTGAAGAGTGGACAGTTGTGTACTGTATGATGGATCAAAGTGTATGAAGTAATTGTAGTAAACTGGGGGAAATTTAGTAAGGCCTGTTTGTTAGGATTCTTGTCCCTTCATCTTCAGAGATTCCTCCTGGTATAGGGAGGGCACATTTCACATGAGGATTTTATGACCTGTTTCAGGGGAGAAGGGCATGGGAGGTCAGAGTGACCCTTCCTGCTTCTGCTGTTTCCTCAGACTCCTTCACTTGAGAATATTCCATATGCCAAGGTGCCATGTTTTGGGCTTGAATCCCATCAGAAGTTTGTTTTTTGTAAACCCTAGAGGAGAAGTATGTAGTAAAGTCCTGTTGATTGGGGAGGGTATAGCTCATTGTTACAGAGTGTTTGCCTAGCATGCATGAAGTCCTGGGTTCAGTCCGCAGTACTGCCATTTAAATAAATAAATAAAATAAATACTCCCCAGATTAAGACCTATTGATATTTGAATTATTTCGTGAACCTCAGTTCAAGTATATCATTATATATTGAGAAGCAGTATATAATGCAGTATATAATGTGCACTTAGGAGCACAGAATCAATTTCGTTGTAGAAAAATAGGGATAATAATAGTACATGTCTTAGAAAGACACATGAGGATGAAATGAGAATAAGCATACAGTTTATATAAAGAATTTAACGTTTATGGTAATTGAGTAAGAATAGTCAGATTTTTTTTTAATTGCAAGGGAAGTATTTATCATATTGTCAGACATTTTAAGAACATCCTATAATTTGAACTAGAAGAGTTAGAAGCAGTGCCTTGTATAGCCACATTGGAGCCTGAGGCAAAAGAAAAGTAATACTGATTCTGTCTTTATTTTAAAATTAGCCATTTTGTTCATTAATGGAATACTTTTCAGTGATTTTGATTTTCTTAAGAAAGTTATTGCATTAAAATATTTAATTTGATTACTCAGTGTTTTTGGTGCCTTCTTGCATTTTGTGCCTGAGGCATTTGCCTCACTAACTTCAACCTGATCTTGGGTCTGGTTAGAAGTAATCTAATATTCTAGTAGTCTTCTGCTGAGCTCAAGAATCTATTATTTATTTACAGGAATTGATAACATTAATTAGCAGTCATTCTTATTTATTGAAATAGACTTGCTGATACATTAGCCTAGTTGGAATTAACCTATGTACGTACATTGTGTTCTTAATAAAATTAGCCTTGAGAATTTTCACTAATTCAGAATTGAACCTTTCCTTCAATTAGATTGAAAATGAACTCTGCATTTTATTGAAGCAAATTTCTTCTCTAATGTATAACCTTAAACAAATATAAGACCTATAAACTCTTTAGAAAAATTAAAACACCGATATTAATTGAAACAAAGTATGTTTGGCATAGATTGTAATTTTGACGTGGGAGAGTTATAGGAAAGTTAATGGCTGGTTAGAAGACCTGAAAATATCTTTGCACTCCCACTTTCTACTCAGAACTGCATATAGTCAAGTTCTTAATTAAGAAACAGCTTAGTCAGAAGTTAAATATCTTTGTTGTGTTAGAGTTTTTCTTGTTGAGGGTGAGCAGACTCATAAGGCATGGTTCTTACAAAAGTATATAAATGGTTACTTTATGAATCATTTTGTAAAGTCCTAAAATGCTTGAGTTTTATTTCAAATTCATTGTATATAGAATTTGATAGCAAAGCAATGATAAATGCATTCCATTTGAGTGTGTAGGGGAGAAGATATTTATCTGTGGTAAACTGAGAATTGAATTGGAGTGATTCATTTTGAAACATTGTTATAATACATATGTTTTTAGTAAGTTTATTTTTATTTGAATATTGCAGTGTCTAAAAATGACTACAAAACGAAGTTTGTTTGTGCGGTTGGTACCATGTCGTTGTCTACGTGGAGAAGAGGAGACTGTCACTACTCTTGATTATTCTCATTGCAGTTTGGAACAGGTTCCCAAAGAGATTTTTACTTTTGAAAAAACTTTGGAGGAGCTCTATTTGGATGCTAATCAGATTGAAGAGCTTCCAAAGGTATGTTAATACTTTCTTGCAAGAATTGACTTTGGTTATTTTTATGCCTAGAAAGATGATATTCCTAACATTACCCTAATGCTGCAGATACATTTGTGTGCATTGTTAACGTTTTTTTTTGTTTAATTTCATCTTAGAGTATGCAGCACAATTCAAAATTTGTTAATAGCATTTTTAACCTTTATTTCTTCAAATTAATTGCTTGAATATTTGTGCATATAATTTAAAATGTTATATTGAATTCCAGTTTTTATATAGCCACTAGGGTAGATAAGACTACACAATTTCTGCAGCCAGTCAGTTTAACTAGACAAAGAATTGAAATTAGTGTTTTCTCTTTCTAATTTTCATGAGCCATCGATCTGTGCATTATTGTAATTGAGAATAAATTTTCCTTTTAGTTATCACATCATAGTTTTGTTGTTAAACAGCCTTTTAGAGGTAGTATTGTGTTTGCCCCATTTCAGTTTGTTTGGAAAGATTTTGGAGGATTTGACATTTCTGAAATGTAACAACAACTAGCAGGAGAAAGTTGGTTTGTTGCCATGAAGCATCTTCTCACATTGACACCATCTTTGCTAAAAATTTTTAGTGGCTACTTTTTTTTTTTCTTAAATTCTAATCCCTTTTCATCCTCTACTCAATTTCTTATTTTAGAGGGAAAAACCTGCCATAGTTTTAATTTGTTCAGAGAGTTTTACCACCCAGACAGCAGTGTTTTTCAAGCTGTGGGTGGAGGAGACTTCTTAGTAGCTTATAAAAGTCAATTTAATATGTGTGGGATTTCCAAAAACTGAACTATGATTTGGACTGGCAGATTTAGAAAATAATATTATAAGCTCCCCAAGTAAATTGCAATTTTTGGATAAAAAATAATTTTTTTAGTATAAGTGTATCTCATGCAATATATGACATCATTTTATTAAAAAATTATTGTTTATCTGAAATCCAAATTTAATCAGTCATCCTGTTTTACCTGACAACCCTAACTATAATAGAGTAGAAAATAGAGAGTGTAACATGTATCAGTGGTAACAATATTTTAAATTTGTGTATGTGTATATATACAAACTGGCTGGCAGTGTTTTGAAAAAGGCTTTTCTTTCAGTGGCCAGCAGTAAAAACATTTTGAAAGACAGTGCCATCCAGGATTATCTTATAAAGAAATCTGTGTGTGCCCAGGATAAAATATTAAAGGTTGTGGTTTGCATGTTTATGAATTATTTTCCTAGACTGTGGTAGAGTGCTTTGTAATTGACTGTTTCCTTGTGTGTTGTTCTTCATCAGGTAATTTATCTTCTTTATCTAGTTCTCCCAGAGAACATGAAAGACTAAAATTCATCCCTTTCTTTAATCACCACCACCAGGGTCTCAGTCTGGGGACTGTGCTGAGAGGAGAGAGGCTTACTATGATAGTGCAGTTAATTGAATCACTTATCATGCCTAAGAATATTCCATTTCTGGAAGAATGCTCTTCTTAAATAGGATGGTACTTCTGAATAGTACCATCCTAACAAAAGTTTTTTTTCCTAAAGACTTCCCTTTTTTTAGATTAGTTTAGGTTCACAGAAAAATTAAGAGAAAGGTATAATGATTTCCCAAATACCTACCCTATCCGCCACAAGCATAACCTCTACCATCATGAATATCCCCCACCAGAGTAGTACCAGAGTGGTTAACTCACCAGAGTGGTTAAAATTGATGAACCTTTGTTGAAAAATCATAATCACCCAAAGGCTATAGTTTATATTATGGTTCACTCTTGGTGTTGTATAGTCTGTGGGTTTGGACAAATGTGTAATGACATGTATTCATCATTATCCTATCAGAGTGTTTTCACTGCCTGAACAGCCTCTGTGTTCCATACAGTTTTTTTTTGGTATGAAACTTAGAAGTGGCCTGTTTACTTACTGCTTTTGTTTAAGTACGTTTAGGTCACATTTCATTATTGTGATTTTAGCATACCAGTATATTTGTTCCCTTATTTATTTTGTCCTTCCAAATCAGAATTTTATATTTTGAGTCATTTTAAATGTACATATTTGAACTTAATTTATATAAACTTCCATTTTGGAATAAGGATGCTTGCAATATATATTCCATAGTTCACCATATTCAACAGCGACTAATTTTTTATGACCTCAACAGAAAATATACCATATACTTATTTTCACTAAATGCATTTTGCCCAGGGCAGAGGTGTGAGGATATAAATCATTCTGAGTAGTCCAATGTCTTCAGAGCCATAAAAGCAAAAAACAGTGAGATCTTTTCTGGTATTTGTGTAGGTATAACTCATTCAGTTTTAATGACATTTATAATGCTTATTTGCAAAAAGATTAATAAATGAAATATTTAAGGAATCTTAAGGAATAATCAAAATCCTTTTTCACCTTTTTTTAATAGCAACTTTTTAACTGTCAGTCTCTACACAAGCTGAGTTTGCCTGATAATGATTTAACAGCATTACCAGCATCTATTGCAAATCTCATTAATCTCAGGGAACTGGATGTCAGCAAGAATGGTAAGATTTTTTTGCCCTTAACTTTTTGTACTTAGGAACATGTTATATTATATTACTAAAATTTCGGCTGTGTTTTAGCAAATAATAAGATGAAACTAGAAAGTCAGATTGTAATTAATGTATTGTCCTATTAGATTTCATATATATTTATATCTATAAATGATCAATGAGAGCTTAAAGCAAGGTAGAGAGTAAGTATAAACAATTTAAAATGACCATTTAATTAAAATGCTGTGGATACATACATGTACATAGGTATATATATCTTTAAATTTCTGTATTTATATATAGTCACTGCCCTGTTCATAATGATGAGAAACTGGTAACAACTGTAATGACCCTTGTTCATTACATAATTTGATACATCCATAAGAGTGGACTGTAGTGTAGCTCCCTCAATAGTGACATAAAATATTTACAGTGTAGTATTAAAGGTTAAAAAAAAAGGTTGTACAATGTAAATGAATTGAACAACAAATATTTATTGAGAGATCACTCTGTGCCAGATACATTTTTAGGAGCTGGAATTACAGTTAATTATGAGAAGTAAAAGGATATGGTCACTGTTCCCCTGGGGCATATAGTCTTGATTTAGTTTTGTTTAGTTTGATCAACATTGAAGGAAGTGTGGTAGATATATTCCGAAAATGTTAAGTGCTTACCTTGGAAGGAGAGAGAAGTAGAAACTTAAATTTTAGAATGAACATATTATATTGGAATAAAATTGGAATAAGCATTTCCCAATAACAAGGAAATCCTTATATATAACCACAGTGTCATTATCACTCTCAAGAAATTTGACATCTCGTTTTCCGTTGCCCAGTAGTGTCCTTTTTAACTATTTGCCCACACTATCCCCACCTTCAAGTTAAAGATCACCTATAGCATTCCTGTAAGCATTTAGTTGTGTCTCTTTGATCTCTAAAGATCAGGAATACTTTGCCCATTTTTATGACATTGTCGTTTTTGTAGAGTTCAGGTCAGTTGGTTTTTAATTTGTGTGAGTTTTCTTCTGATGATTTCTGCTTGATAAATTCCAGAGCAAATGGACTTGATTCATTACCATTGTAGATCTTTGTATGCTGACAGTTAAGTAGTGTTACAGAACTTTAGAGTTGTTGTGACAATAGAAATCATCAAGTGCAATGTTCTACCCCAAAGGAGTATCTTTTCTACTTTTTGTCCTTTTTAAATGAGAGATGTTAAGGTGTAAGGAAAGAAACATGAAAGAATCTGGGTATTATTGATAAAATTATATGCATCTGGGAAAGGTTAGTAAACCATGCCACTGGTTTTCATGGTATGAAACTATTACTTGGCTCAATATATCCTCCTGATTTATTACTCAGAATTGAGAATGGTATAATTATGGCCCTGCAGTATCATTAAATTAATATCTTAGACTTTAATGCAATTTCTTAAAGAGTAATGTGTTTAAGCTATGACAGCCTGTTGCACTGTAGTGTCCCCCCCCCCGTTTTTTGTCCTAGTTTCAGCAATTCCTTGTTGCTTGTATCTGCTTTATACAATTCTATCAGCTTATGAGTGTTTTTGAGGAGTTATAGATAATTTGTATATGACCAAAAGACTTAGGATAAACACTACCACTCATTGTATTATACCTGGTCCGTATCATACAGCTCTTAACCTCTAGCCAGTATCATCATTTGAGTATACAGTTCCTGTTAACACTGGAACTCAGTGTTATATTCTGTACTGTTTATTACTAGCCTTTATTACTATTTTAACACCTTTTATTGTGATTCCTA